AACCTCCAGTGTTTAGTCTCAAGTCCATCTAGTTCGAACATACTAACCAGAAGGATTGAAGGTGACGGAGCCGTTTGGTGGATATTTTGGGACAGGCAGAGTCGTTTGGTGGTTAGTTTGGGAGCCGTTTGGTGGATATTTTTGGAGAGGCAGAAGAATGGGATCTGGATTGAACCCGTTTGGCATCGACGAATAGTTCGGCTTGGTAGTCTGCATTAAGTTGGTGATCATTTGCAAGGATGGTCCTGCTCTATCAAGTGGAACAAAATGTCCGGCACCCTGAATCGATAAGTGATCATCGAGCAGAATTCAATAATTCATGTAAAAATTTTGGATTAGTTGAAGTCTTCATGGAGAAAAGAAACATTTGAATTGTACTAGATTAGTCATTGTGAAGATGAAATGAGCATTACTATTCCATTGAATCCATTAAGTAAACACTCAATAATGCTTTGAGGTTTCATGTAAGTGTGGACAACTGAAGAAAGAAGTTGGATTATCCACTGGTACGGGCAGTTTCGTGAAAATATTGTCTTCATTGTTTTCACGATGCTCGATCACAATAAATCTCAGGAATATGGAAAAGTGCGCTTCACCTTGACTGTTATGACATCCATTGTAAGTTTCTTGTTAGGATGTGTGTATTGCTGTTGATAACCAGCCACTTGACCACGGAACATCCATGGGGTTCTTACATTGTACTGGAAGTAAATTGAAATATTTTTTGAGCTTTACATAACATTAAATTTTCCAATATCTTACATTTTACACCTTTATCGCTGATTAATCGTCATTCGATAAAATTTCTGATGCTTACACTCATGTTAGTAATGTTGGCAACATCTCTGAAATGCCAAGCGTCTCCAAGGAAGTTGCACACTGTGTCCACATCACCGTTGTAAATAAGAATTCGGAAGTCCGGGATCTGAAAAGTTCATATCGATACTTAGAGGTGTGCTTTAATTCCATCAGACAAGTCCTTTCTTTCTATCAGCAGTTGAAGAACATTTCTTATTTTACCAATTGCTTTCGATCCCATTTCACTCTCAGCTTTCTAATGACGCTCAAATGAGATTTTTTAATGTAGATGGAGTGGCTCAATAAATACTTTGTTTGATACTTCAGTCTGTCGCATACGAACGCTGAAATTTTTCTTGGTATTGAATGGGTGACAAGCGAATGGTCGTATTTTTGGAACAGGTAAAATATGGGCTGATGGTAATGTTACTAAGCGATCATCTCATGCCTCACATTGTTCTCACAAAAAACTTTCACTTCCCATCAATTTCAGTCAGTATTTTCAGCTATATTCATTTCTGCCAGCAACATGGCCAACAAAATCTGAGAAGTGCATCACAACTTACTTTAACTTCATCGATGATATTCTTGAAAACTTCTGCCGTATTCGTATAGGTGACCGGATATGCGTAGAAGAGAGGATCGCTGCAAAGCAAAGCAAGACATTTTGATCAGAAATTCACAATTGTTGTTTTTGATTGAATGGAAAAAGACTGAACGTGAATTTGACTTCGACGGAAGTTCTGATGAACACAGTCAAAATTTCTTAAACTGTGTGATGGATTGTACAAACATTTGTTTCATTCCGAACGCAACCCAAAATCATTCTTGGGT